CAAAATAATCTGTATCAGTATCGGCCTTCAAAAATCTTATCGGTCGATCTCTAATAAACAGCACCAGCTTAGATAGAGGAGGTGAGTAGCAATGTTACAGCTACAGCGTCTGTTGTTGGGTGTTTTTACTAGGGTTGGGCAGTATTGATCATTTTCATATCTTCAGTATTGGTGCCAGGTAGGGTTGGGCATAATCGTATCGTGTGTGATTAATCGTCAGAAAAACATTAATCGATTAATTTTTGGCACTTGACAATTAATACGATTAATGCCAACAGTTAGAATCTGCTCGCTGCTCCTCTCAGCTTCAAATATGACGAACATTAAAAAAAGTTCTGTAACTTTTATCTATCAACACAATTTAAAATTTGATGTATAGCCTGAAGTCTGTAATTTTGACACAATTTGGAACAGATTTTTATGAAGAGCAAATCTTTCCCACTAAATTGGTCATGTGACTATGAAATAAGGGTGTTCAGGGACTCCAGGGGATTAATCGTCAAATTAATCGTTATCGGCTAAATACCACAATTAATCGTGATGAACGTACTAAGTTGTATCACGCCAGTGTATTTATCAAACAAATGAAAACAATAAAACAGCATTACAATGTCACGTAGTGTTTTATTTTTTTGTACATAAATTTTGCCCTTCAGTTACTGAGAAGCAAATTTCTTCATGACTCTGGTTAAAGTCTGGGACGTTTTAACAAGATTCTTCTCTATAGGGAGCATGGTCAGTGCAGTGAGCTGTGATGTTGTGTACTTGAGGAAAGTCTGGATTCTCTTCAGTGTTGAAGCTCCTCTCAGATTCAGCTGTGGTCAGAGATGTGATGAGAATCTGCAGCATAGTCACAGTCTCTGAAGGTGTCCTGCAGATTGTTCTTCATGAAGAGCTGGTACCGAGCCACAGCACCACTGCAGCTCCTGAACTAGATCAGACTTCTTGGTCCTGTTCAGCACTGGGTGAGCCTCCATGGTCTTCAGAGCTGCTTCAGAATATTGTCTGTGATCCTGCAGGAATCTCTCTGCCTGCAGCACTGTAGCTCTGATCATGAGCATGTGAATGTCTCAAGATGGTGTCACAAACCTAAAACAATAAATGCACAAATTTAATTTATGGAGATGGCTACAAGTGAGCTTTCTAATATATATTTAATATGAAAACTATTGATGTT